GCAGAGAGAGGGAAGAGAGATTATTCTTTCCCTCCACAAAACTATATTGGGTTCAGTGTCATACCAGTGCAGAACTTGAGATGCTTATCCAGTGGATCTTCCCTGACTTATCCAATTGCATAGAACATGGGGATACTTAACCCAAATCTGTCTGTTTTAATTATTTTCCTCTGGACAGATAAAAGCTTTCTATAGGTTCCTGTAGAATATTTGCTCTTTCAAGCGTTCCTCTGCAGCTTTGATACTAAACGATTAAAGCATGCTAGGGGAAAAAAAATACCCAGCCCAACCTTTAGTTCCCTGTTCTTGGGCCCCCTGACTGCAGCTTTGATTGTTGACCTAAATTCCCCTTTCATAACGGAGTCCTGTCACCTCTGGTTGTGTTCTCCCAGCAAAGCAGACACAGCCAACTTTCAGAAGTGCAGGGAATTATTTTGCCCTCTTCTTTCCCAAACTCTGTAGCACACAGTATCCATATCAAACTGATACCCCTCCCCATCCCCCACAAATGCCACAATCAGCCCTGTTGCCCTGTTACTCAGTTAAATGGGAAAATTATTTTGATTAAAGATTTTGGATAATCGTGCAGCTTAGATGATTACTAGGAAGTTGCAGTTAGCAAGACACAAGAAACAGTGCTGAAGTGACAGGGGGAGGCCTGGAGTTTGTTCCTGATTAACTGCAAGTGGATTACAACAATTTGCTTGGCTACTTTAGCTCCTCTACTTTGAAATGCTGCCCACGGAGAGTGCTTAGTACTCTAATAGTGAAAGTCTCTAGATGTGTGTCCCAGCTTCTCTAGCGATTCCTGATGATCACCCTCTGCTGTGACCTCAGCATCTTGGGCTTAGTTACAGCAGTGTCTTATGCCCCTCAGGTGATCTTGCAGAAGTTCGCACATCGGTGCTCCATACTACACTAACAGTGCTCAGTTGTGCCCTGTGCAGAGTGCGTATACAAGGCTGGTGCACTGTTTCAGTCTGCCCTAAACCCTTAAGCCCCACTTTGCTTTAAGGGGTGCATAAGCCCTGCAGGTGGCCTGTTATGATTAGCAAAGATATATTACAGCAGTCATAGCTTAGGTTCTATAAAACCATGAGCCCAGCTTAAACATAATGAGATTTCTACAAATGATAAATGCACTGTTATGCTTTCCTTTGCCTTTTGGGATTTGAGCTTGTAAGGCGTACGTTTCCAAACTATTCCCCACAAGCATAAGTTCTAAGCTTTATTTATATTTGGAAGATAATATAACTTAGGACTGGAAGTGACCCTCTGGGTTTTCAAGTCCAGCCTCTCACTGTTGCAGAAAATTGCATTATATAATCCTTGTTCATAACCTTACAGTATCCATCTTAAAATGAATTAGGGTTTTTGCCCCAATGACACCGGTTAGAACATTGTTCTGCAACATCATTTTAAATGAAAGCTGAGATTCTTGCTTAATCCAGGGCTTGAGGAAAAACAACTATTTTAGGACTCTTACATTAGCAACACAGACTGTTTCATCTCACCTGTAGCATGCAAGCAGAAACTTGCAGAACTCTGTACGCCCTTTTGTGTGAAAATCATGCACTTTGAGTGTGCGTGTATGTGTGTGTATGTACCTGCTGTAGGAAAAACAAATGTTAAGTTTTATTTTTCACTCACGTCCTCGCAGCATTTGTAACAACAGTTGGGTACCTGCAACCGATGAAAGCTGGAGAAAAGAATACCGTATGTGACAAACTCTTTTGATTTTATTGCTGGTCTTTGCCCTAAACCAAAAAAGCATGAGGAATCAGAATCTTAAATTCCTTCCCTTCAGTAGCTGTTTTATGGGTGTTTCCATTGTCACTGTTTTTGTCCTCATTTGGCTCGCTATAAATCTTGAATTGATAGCAGGCGTTTGAGTCAAGCTCAAGCCACATTGCATCACATCAGAGCCAAAGTGCACAAAGGAAGGACAGAGATCACTACTACCCTGTAGTATTCTTCCAGCAGCTCCATTTATTCAGCTGAGGTCAATCACTAGCATCCTACAGCATGAGAGAGAGAGAGAAGAATGGCTTTTCAAGCTGGATGGAAATTGAATTTCTATTCTGTACGCTTCTTAGTTTTCAGAGACTTTTCTTTAGCCCAGATTAGGACACAACATTCAAAGTTTGACTCTGGAAGCCTTGAGGTCACTTATTTGGAGACAGTCGGTATGGCAGGGCTGACCGGGAACTTCAGACCTGGAAACTTGTCCCAAGACAGAGGAAACTAGCTGCCCATCAGAGACTCTGGAAGCCCTTTAAGCTACTGAGCTTCTTATGGGGGATTCACTGCGAGGGAAAGGTTGGTGATCAATGTTGTATACCTCTGAAATGTCTGTCATTTTGAGGGGTGTTGTACCATTTATACCTAAAGTTCCTCATGACTGATACCCCACATTTTTGCTATTCAAAATTTTCCATGTCAGAAAGAAAGCCTGAGCTTCTAGAAACAGTCATGTAACCCTAAAAGAAGGAATCCAACGGCATTTTAAATTACCCTTAAGGAATAGTTTTTCTTATATATCTTTATGTCTCCATCTTTGGATAGTATGAATATCCTGCCATTACATGCAGCTTCTTAAATATTCCTCAAATCAACAAAAGTTTGCATTTGATGATAAGCAAGAGTTGACCACATCTTGTTAACCCTCAGGCCTCTCTTAAAACTGTGTGGGAGTTGTCTCTGCACCCCTACACTTCCTAGGTCTCCCTCATACCCTTAGGTTGCTCTGTACTTTCATCCATGAGAGCTCCTTTGGACTCGCATAAAGGTATTTCAGTTTTGCATTTTTAGTCCCAAGAGCTTACCTGTAGGAGACCTATCCTCCTTTTTCCCCTTGTTCATTCTGGTACTCTGCATGCATCACCACAGTAGGTACCATATTACCTATCATACGAATAAAGGTACCGTAGTATATTCGAGATAACATAAATCTATAAAAATGCAAAAGAGAATGTACGTTCTTATACCTCTAAAAGTAAGTACATTTTGCAAAGAAATACCCAGGGAGAGCTTAACCCAAAACATCACTGGCAGTATGATAGCATTCATTTCCCAGGTAAACATCCACCTCAGCCTGATTGGAAAATGTCATTTTTAAAGCAGCTTGTTTTCCCTCTCCGGTCTCATTCTTTCTCTCTCGTGATCAGAAGAATCAGTGTAAGCTTGAAGCTGATCTTGAAAAGATTTTGAACTGAGTGCGCCCTACAGATGAATAAACACATTACCTTCCTAACCCAGAGATCTCTCTTCCAAAGGAAACAGGAAAAGGGGGAGCTTAGAGTCCCTAGCAAAATAACAGAGTGCAGAAAAAAAAGACCTGTGTACAATTTTTTGACTTTCCCATCAGAGGGGTTTTTTTTGGGAGGGGGGCAAGGAGGAGAAGGGGGGAGAGGGAAGGTGGGTGACAGAAGGGGGGAGGAAAAAAAATACAGTTGAACACTCCTGTAACCTCTGCTCTGTTGATACTAGACAAGACCACACTGTTAATGAGTGATTGTTAACAGATGGCTGTTGAGCAACTTGTTCCGCGTTAGAAGCAAAAGATGCTGTTTGGTGGTGGTGCTGGGAAGGTTAGGGTGCAAGGGTGAAGTAAGGGGATATTTAGTCTTTAAATACAGACTGAACCATCAAAGATTTAAGATTTCCAGTCAGACATCTGGAAGCAGAGGGTGGGACAGGGCTTATTCATATGCATGTGTGCTAGAATGCTATTTGGTATTGAAGTCCTTAACACTTCCCCCACTCCACCCTGATCAAGGTGTGTCCACCTATATTCCTTGTTTTGTGAATCCTAGCCATTAAGATCTGAAAGGAGGACCCCACATGTCCCACCCAGTTCTCACCTGTCCCAATTTGGAAAGGAGCTCACTCTCTCTAGACCTCTAACCTCCAGAGCTCTCTGACCCACAGTGGAAGGAGATAGTTCCCCGAGTCTTTGGGAAAAGGGCCTGTTTCATTCCTTGGAGTTCGCTTTTCATTTCTATCTCTCTTTCATTTCCCCATATGTTCTAAAATTGAGCTTTTTATTTGCATACAAGTCAGGGTGCAGTAGACATGTAACTGCCTACAGCAGTGTAGGGGTGCAGGCAGGTACCCAGGGCAAAGCGGAAGCAGCAACTTCTGGTTCATGATTGCAAATATGCAGCTGCCAACAGCAGCCATTTTTTGTGCCTCCCCCTCCCTCTCCCCAAGTCAGAGCCCAGGGGAGTTGTCCTTATCACCATCCCTAGTTATGCCACTCTTGAGGTATAGACCTATACTGTATACAAGACGTGATTAGCATATATTTCTGTTGTGGGCAGCGAATGGATACTCTTCTTTGAGCATACAGATAATCACCTTGTAGAGCATTACTATGACTGTAATACAGTGACTCCAGTGTAAGTGTGCATATATTTTTCTCACCAATGTTCATGGGGAGAGATTTTACAAACAGCCTGAAGGAGTAAGGCACACACATTCCACTTGGTCTGGGCTTCGATGAGAATCCTAGCCATGCATAATTTTGCAGGCTGTGCTAGAATTAAATGAGAGATTTTTCTCCTGCTAGAATTTTTGAACAAAGATTTAAGGAATATGGGGTATGTGCATAGGCAGAGAGGGAGAGAGAATTAGTAATTAAGGACATATCTTGAAACTCCGCTTGGTTTAAACAAGTGACGTCAAATTTATGGCTCAAATACATATAAGGAGAATGCACTTCCACTCTGCCACTGCGGGATTGCAAAACAATTCTGGTCTTTGGCCACAGAAAGGGAGCTGCATTGATTCATATGACATGCCTTTGGCAACCCTTAGCCTTTGATACTAAGTCCTCTTCTATAGCCACCTGCTCATCAGATGGTTTGACATGGCTAGTCTACTTCAACCTTCTTAATATACATATTTATATATACATGTTATTAATTAAAAAATAAATACGTTAAATAGCCTGTTCTGCAACTCTTATTTATTTATATTTCTTTTTTGGGGGCACATAGGACTATATGACAAATGTTCTTACACCTCTCGTGACCGAGGATGGGTCCTGGGGATAAACACCATCAGTGACCAGGGCAATAGAGACCCCCGCTATTTCTTCTCGCTGAAGACAGACCGTGCTCGCAAAGTTACCACCATTGCCGCACATCGCAGCTACCTCCCTAATCAGTGGGTGCACCTGGCTGCCACCTATGATGGGCGCCTGATGAAACTCTATGTGAATGGTGCCCAGGTGGCTACAAGCGGGGAGCAGGTGGGCAGCATCTTCAGCCTTCTGACCTTGAAGTGCAAGGTGCTCATGATTGGAGGAAATGCCCTAAACCAGAACTATCGGGGTTACATAGAGCACTTCAGCTTTTGGAGGACAGCCCAATCTCAGCAGGCGATCTTGTGGGACATGGGCCAGGCTATTCATGGACAAGGCACCCCTCTACCTCAGCTAGTTCTTCAAGACAGTTTACTGAATGTGAAAAGCACCTGGTCTCCTATGAAAGATGGCAGCAGTCCTCAGATTATGTTCAGCTATCACCATAGCTACTTGCTGGATACCAGCTTGGATCCTCCTCTCTGTGGACAGACAGTCTGTGACAACGTGGACGTGATTGCCAGCTACAACAAGCTCCCAAGCTTCCGCCGCAACAAGGTGGTACGTTACCGGGTAGTGAACCTCTACGATGACAAGCACCAAAATCCCACGGTCAGCCGTGAGCAGATTGAGTTTCAGCATCAGCACCTGAACGAGGCCTTCAGCCACTACAATATTACCTGGGAGCTGGAGGTGCTGGAGGTGAAGAACTCCTCACTTCGCCACCGGCTCATCCTAGCCAATTGTGACATCAGCAAGATTGGAGATGAAAACTGTGACCCTGAGTGCAATCACACCCTGACTGGGTATGATGGAGGGGATTGCCGGCATGTGCGTCACGCTCTGTTCAACAAGAAGAAGCAAAATGGGGTGTGTGACATGGATTGTAACTATGAAAGATACAGCTTTGATGATGGGGAGTGCTGTAACCCGGAGATAACTGATGTCACCAAGACATGTTTTGACCCCTATTCTCCTTACAGGTAGGAAACTTCTTAAAATTGAGGTGTTTATAATAGTACTAGTGAACAATAGACTGAATATGGACAGGTCTGCTAGCTGTCCATCCCCCTTGAGTTGTTGGTTCTCTTCTGCTTTTTTTTTTTTTCTTTTCCCCCCTTGGGTAATTGCACTCAAATACATTCAGTGAGAGCGAAGTCTTCAATACTGACTTGCCACTGAATCTAAATTTCCTTTCCCTTCAAACTGCATTAGATTCAAACAGGCAACTTGGGAAAACCCGTAAGTGGTAGATTATAAACTGTATTTTATAGTGTTACATAGCCGATTTTAGCTCAAGCCCCCAGAGTGTAGGACCTGAAACCATAAAAAGGTCATGTGGCATGAGGGAAGAGCACCTGAGGTGAGAGAGAGAGATTTAAATATTCTCAGGCAGACCTCAACCAAGACTTCTTAAAGGGTAGACAGTTTATTCAAGGCCCCTCAATGCTATAATAATTTAGATTTCTGTATGTACTTATGGAGGGAATATCACGCTGTGGTTATAGCGAGAAGGGGACAGACTGTCGGGATTCCTAGGTGCTATTCTAGACTTTGGGCTGCTAACTTAACTCTTCTGTACCTCTGTTGACGCATCTGAAAGATGCCACATCTGTTCCTGAGAGGAGATCTATGAAAGGTAGTTATTTAAGCTTGTAAAGCAAGCTGAGATCTTTGGCTTAAGATATAGATATAAACTATTATTCTGTACTAAGAACCCATTTCTCAAATTAGTTACATCAGTCTGATACCTCGTTTTATATCAGTGCAAGTGTGAGAAGTGGATACTGAATACTGTACATCACAGAAGATCCCCTGCCATTCTGTGAAATAATCATGGCAGTATGATTAAGACCCACATAACACAGAAATTACTGCTAAGATCCTATCCTTTGCACACCTTGTTAGGGCTCCACATTGCACCTCAAAGGATTGGAGAAGGGGGCGGAAGTCAGTGTTTTAGAATATCCTGTATCATCATCAACAACAGGGCTGGTTATGAAGGAAAATGTCAGCAGCTACAGGATCATCTAGATTGTATAGTCAAGCGTGTTACTATTTTTATAAGAAAGGCATTTTAAAGTGACACTGTCAAGGGAACTTGTCTCCTAGATTTATACAACTAGAAGGAGAAAATGTGCATCCAATTTTTTAAAAACATCCATTGAATTAAGAAACATAGAACAAATATCCCATCACAGCTTAGGTCAAAATTGTGTGCATATTAACCAGGTGAGGACCTTGGTTAAAAACCCATTATCAAAAATATCAAAAAGGGAAAGTGACCAGTCTGTTTTCATTGAGGAGTGGACAAGAAAAGCAACTGAGCAAACATCAAAGGCAAAATTGAAATCGGATGTGTTAATAAATCTTCAGTTCTCAAAACTCAAGGTGTTAGTAATAATGAGCTAAAATATGGTTTAGCAAAATATTATTTGTAACCTGATAGTGTTTCAACATCTATGCTGTTGGCCATATCATATACACAGACCTTTTAAATACAACACAACTAGGAAAGCCTTTTAAAATCTTATAAAACTGGCTTTTTATTACTATCTTAACATATACAAACATTTATTTTCTGAACTCAATGCCTAGGTTTTGTTGGCAAAATGTACTTGTGCAAGCTAAAGCCCGTGATTTCATTTGCTAACTCTGCAGTTACATCTACAAGCTGTTGGTTTTTCCTAAGCAACTGTATATTCCTCATAAGGGGCCTTTGGGCTACATTCCCACTTGTGAATTGGGCACCCTATGAGATTGAGCCCATGCAACCTCTACCCAAGCCATGTCTGTTTGATCTGTGTGACTGCTCCCTAGTGACTTTGACATCCATAAGTAGGTAACAGGACACTGCTTTCAGCTGTCTGAGATCCTCCTCCATAGTGGTGAACATTAGGAGCTTCTCCCAGTTGGATCTGCCAGACACCCATCATCCCTCAAGCCTGTAAACTAATGGAATTGTTTGTCTTTTATCATCCAAAATAACAGAAAATAAATTTGGTCTCGGGGCTGGCCTGAGGTTGCAACACTGACATCAATGGCTAGCACAGAGGCCAAGGAAGACTTTAAAAAGTCTGTTTTTTCTCTGTAATCTGAGAAACATGTTTGCTGTTCAGTGTGCCTCGGTCAGAACATGTCAATAATAGCAGGTAGGGCTACAGGCATCATTGATAAATGAAGCTTTTAAGTCATATGCCTCCATGTTAGCTCTTCAGGCCAACAACAGAGGTTTGCAATCACCAGCTTGGCACCAAAGCCCTCACTGATAGAATGGGTGTGGATCTTCAAACCCCATCTCTGGCCTTAGCATTGCCCTCAGTTCAGTGTTTCAAAGTCAGTGATTAACTTGGCACTGATCACACCTGTTGCACACCTCCAGCCACTTTGGACATGCATTGAATCCTCACGCCCCTCTGATGCAGGCCTTACTCTCCATTGCTGAAGACATCTCATTGTCTTCTATGTGATTCACTCCCAGGAATTTCCTCTGTCAAAGCTCAATCACACAAGAAGCTGGGGGAAAAGAGCTCATACTCTGATTGGACCTCAAATAAGAAGAGGAAAGATGAAGAGGTCTTGGCTTCTCCGTCTTCCTCAGCAATGTGTGGCCTCCAGATTTCACAGATTCAAGCTCCTTATATGTTCCCAATGTCACCTATTCTGGGAAGCCACCATACAGTACCCTGGCATCCTGGATATGTGGCTGAGATATAGAAACTGCCTCCAGCACCTTTTGATCCACTATAAAATGATTCCCACTGGCCACTCTTCAAGCTATGAACAAGATAGTCTGTTATTGGTCCTATCACACTTCACACATTCCTTCCAGGACCTTGTACAATTGTATTTATGGTTCTTGTTTCAAGAAATACTGAAGATACTTCTTGACAACACTTGACTTCACTCATAGATCTACCACACAAATAGCTCCATAAAAAGGCTCCTTGCAGTCTCTTCCTGCCCTTGTGGACAAAGTGCTCAGGTCCTGCAGAATTGCCCTTTCAGTTACTGGCCCTGTTAAACACTCTTTTTACTGGTGTTGATTTCAGCACCAGTGCTACCACTACCATTGCTTCTCTGTCCTTCCTTTCGGGAACTACTGCCAACATCTCCTGCACCGAGGGGCCAGGATTCCATAGTGAGTGCTTGCGGGTACCAGCAGGCACAATGATGCAGGACTCTCATAATGATGTTGTCATACTGGTGGTAGATGTACCAAGGGGTAATGTAGTGTCAAATGTTCTGCAAAATATACCAAAGACAGGGTATTCCTATCCATACATAAGGCTTTGCTTTCCCCAGTCAAAAAAACCTTCTGGACACAGTCTTCTCCAGCAGTTTCATAGCAAGGGGACAGGCTGTACCCTGTTCCATCACAGGCTTTGAGTATTTGGTTTAGTTCAAAGGTTACCCCTATGGCTAGAGAAAGGAAACAGAATAAATGCAGTTGTCTGAAAGATATATTCCTTGTATCTTTGGGCATGCATGTCACTGCTTAGCAGGTGGGGTGAGTGACTCCTTGTGGGGAGGTCATGGCACCCATCTCTGGTTCCATTTCACTCAAAGGATCTAGCTGAGGGGAAAAAATAATGTCATATCACACTTCTGTGCAAAGATCGTGGTCACTGGAATCACTGCTCACATACAATCATGGCTTTGCACGTCAGGCTTCATCATGAACCGCTGTGGGCAGATAGAAAATCTTCCCCTTGATGGTAAAACTCTGTTCAGTTAAATGGCAGATGAAATTCTGGAATTTGAAAGCTACCAGAACAACTTCGGTCTCTCATGTTCTCATACAATCTGCTGCCACTGAAGTTGGAAAGTTGTCAGACATGACTGATACCAGAGATTTGCCTTATAAACATCCACTTATGCTTATGTACTGTATTGAAACTCTCTGCAGACCTCCTTTCCTGTCCTCTCTGCCAAACAGCAAGGAAAATAGGGAAGGAGCCTTACTAGTCTGGATACAAGCTCTTGAGGGATGTTTCTCAGATGTCGTTTGACATGAAAGTCAAAGCTAGTGCTTTGCCAATTCTACGTTTCTACTGCCTCCTCCAAAACTCCCTTTCTTTACCAGGATGTGCAGTTATACAAATCTTGGTGTGAAATCCCATCACACTGCTGCAGACAGGAGACATTATATCAAGGCTACACTGTAGAGTTACTCTTTGCACCACCACCTTCTTTCACCTCTCATCTCCCGCCAGAGACATTTTTACAAGACATCTTTAAAGGGAGAAGCAAACAAGGAGAGAGAATAGCAGGAATTTCTTTCACCCTTCGCGGTCCAACAGCATTAGGCACTACACAGTTCTCTGGCTATGTCTCAGGAGCTTGAAACTCAAGGATGGATCCAGACTACACAGCAATATACTGGATAACTGAGAAACACTGAGCACTGCAAATCCTTTTTCCTTTGTTCTTGGGATACGGAGCACTGATGCCAGGCATTATCTGAAGGCTTTGCCAACCCTTTTCCCTCTGTAAAGGAGTTTGCTCCCTTGTGGGATTTGTCCTTTAGTACTAGCAAATCTCCTAAGATCCCCATTTGATCCCCTTGGAGATCACATCTAGAATTATCTGCCATACATAATATAACCACATTCTTTATAGCTATTGCCTCAGCTTGGAAGATGAGTGAATTATGGACCCTGCTAATAAGCCTATCTTATGCTGTCACACACAGTATAGGGGGTTTGCCTGTCTTCACACAAAATTTGTCTCTAGGGACTTCCATGTTAATCAGCTCATCTCTTTCCCACAGACTTGCAGGTGCAACATACCTTCACACACCAGAAATCAGGAGGACGTTCTGTTTTAATTTGAGCCAACTATGTTAAATTCAGTAGGCTGTTTGTAATGCATGCGGGAGAAGGGGTGATGCAAAGTATGGGCTATTTCTATTCATAGTGTTCATGCAACCCCAAATCGGCTTTGCTAGAAGTTCTGTGAACTCAGTGCCGGGGACACCAAG